TCGAATCGAATCTAATTTCCTATGTTGATTGTAGCAGCCCATTGCTGAACACCATAGAGGATTATAGTAGAGGGGAGGTTTTCTACTCAAGTACGTCGGATGCTCGAAGCCGGATAACCTATTACCTTACCGTGGGCTAAGTAGAGAAGAAAACCCGAACCTCGGCTGTTCCCACAAAGAAAGCCTGATGTGCCTTCTGATGCTGATATACTGATTCATTGAAAGCTATTTAAAATTGTCTGTGACGTCACTGCCTCGAAATCGAAAATACTTTATATTTTTCTCCTGGTTTGAGCCGAAAAATGTTGGAATTTGTGGTTAAGCTGACAAGTTGGTGTCCTCTTGCTGTTGGTCTCCAGTGGGATAATCTTTGGATGCAGATCGTTGACCCATAAAGACCGAATCCAAGACCGTCCGCTGGGCAAGGCAGAAAGCGAAAACTGAGCGCAGATCAACGAGAGTCCGGAATCCGATGGGGCAGCGCTTTTTGGATCGCTTGATTCGCAACAGCCATCTTTGACGTCATCAACACTGTTAGTGAGTTTTCGCTTTGTTCTTTGGGGAAAAGTGGAAGGGAAGAAGGCAACGAAATCAACTTTCCGGTATGTAAGGTTTGTTATCTAGAAGTCGTCCACCTCGTTCGACTGGTATACGATCCACATCGTGAGGGCAGGCAGGTTGTTCATGTGAGTGGCAGAACTTCCTCCGATTTCAGGTTCGCCAGATTTCGCCATGTGAGGGTTTACGAAAGCCGGGCGTGGCTTTTTATCGAAACGAGTCAGATCAAGGCTACACGGTCGAGGGAAAAACGCGTACTGGGCCAGGATATGCAGAGATGAACATCGGCTAGACGGCCGACGAATGAACATAAACGCGAGCAGAGTCGGAGACGTGCGATCACAGAGATAGCGCGGCCTGGCTGACGACGGAGACGTGCGGCGAATCGGCACGACAGGTCAGCCCCCGTCGCGCATGGCAGTAATGCACGCCGCACTGTCGCCAACCAGACCTGTCTCCGCCGAGGAGCAGCAGGCCATCAACGATCTCAGGTGGGACCGCTTTCAGTTCAGTCCAGGCACTGCTGGCAGCACCCTAACACCGTGTGCACACTTGTCTAAATCTCTAGAACGATCCTGCCCTCGATAGAATGTCTGGAAGATTCGTATGTGTTGCGATGGTTACGTGCAAAGGATTTACGTTTCGATGAAACCGCTGACGCCCTCAAGAAGCACGTCGTATTCCGGAAAGCATGGGAACTCGACACAATTTCTTCCTGGGAAGCACCTGAGGTCAGTCTGTGTTCGGTTTCCTTGCTAGAATTGCCTGCCTCTGCGCCGCGCTCTCTCATGGTGCTACCCTACCCGTGTGTTCAAATCGACAAGTATTTTTGTTCGGTTCCGTCATGGCAGCAGACAACTGGGAGAGGTGACCTCGTCGTTGCGAGTGTCGCACGACTGTCAACAACTGCGAAACGACGAGGAAATCAGGACGCTCTCATTCGGAATCGCGCTCGCTGACACAGGGCGATCTTCATCAAAACGGAGGGGCACATTGTTCAGACACCGGAGAAAGGGTAGAAAGTCAGGTCCGAATACAAATAACATCTTGTGATCAAGATAATCGATCAGCCATTTCCTACGCTGAAAAATTGCACTTAGTCCCATCAAAAAACAACCCTGATTCACGACATGTTCATTGGAGGTGAACTGCTTTGCCGTGGGGCTGCCAGCGGTCTTGTTCTTCTTATGAGTTCCTTCTGCTCCACTGAGGCTCTTCGTGATCATTCTTCTTCAATAATTCAGTTATTTTCACTCTATCGCATTTTTTTCCGCTGTAACCCATATTTTCGAAAAAATTGGTCCTTTTACAAAAAATTGGTCCTT